CCCATTTTGTGATTTTGTCGAAAGCCTTGGAGAAGAAGATGGGAGAGTCCCAGTTTGAGCAATTGAAAGCCAGTTTCAAAGGGAAAATTTTGCCTGCTATACACCCAGACAGCGTCCGCGTAAGGTTGATTTCCAAGGATATAATTGAGGCTTTGCAGAGAGGGTTAAGGCATGAGGTGGGATGGACTGACTTGGAGTATGCCTCTGATAGATTCGAGCCAGCACATGAAGGTAGTGGGCCTGACACTTTGATGGCACTGACGGACGTTGGAGAAGAGGTGAAGAAGTGGTCCCGTGAAGATGAGATTCTTGATGATGAATGGATTCAGAAGAGTAGGAAGGCGGGTCAGGAACGAGGTACTAAAACTGCTACTTCGCATTTGGATCATCTGAATTGGGAGGTTTTGGTGGTGGATGAACCTGTTGTCAATGCATTTTGCTTGCCTGGGGGGAAGATTGTCGTCTTCACGGGGTTGCTGAAACATTTTAGAAGTGATGCTGAGATAGCTACGATCATTGGTCATGAGGTATGAAGATTTCATTGTTTGGTTTTGTTTACTTCTGTTATATGATTTGATTGGTTAATTAGTTGAACAATTGTGTGAAGATAAGATGTTAAAGTTCTTTTTTTGGGTGGTGATAGGTTGGGCATGCGGTTGCTCGACATTCTGCAGAGGGCATTACAAAGAACCTGTGGTTTGCAATCCTGCAACTGATACTTTATCAGTTTGTTATGCCTGATGTTGTCAACACAATGTCCAATCTTTTCTTAAGGCTTCCTTTTTCTCGAAGGTACAGTACAGTTCATCTACTTCCTACCTTTTCAGTAATAACATCATATGATTAATTCTTGTTAGTGTTGGCTCATTCTGATGGCATTCTTGGATTGGTTGCAAACGTAGATGGCGTCTTCTTTATTTATTTCTCACTAAAGGTTTTGGCTTAGTGTTCTAGGAATGGAGTTGTTTATGGGTTAGATAATGGTATGGGTCATATTTGTTCACTAAAGGTTCTGACCTGGTTCTATTAAGATGTTTGAACATGTCAAGTCTCCCAAAAATGGTTTAAGAGCCTTGGAAAATATTTTGACAGTTTGACTTAATGTGAAAAAAGCTTTTACTATTTCAAGTTGGAGCTTCATTGTTCCAAACAATGGATTAATGCTAGTCTGGAAATGCGTTCAACATGAAATGTTTGCTATATGGATATGTGTTTACTGGTTATTTAAATATTCTGTCACTTGCTATATATAACCAAATAAACAAGACAAAAACCCATGGGTTTCCAGCAAATGGAAAAAAGGGAATTGTATTGTTACAAAGACCCTTGACACTCCGGTCACTAATGCTTCCCCGGGAAAGATGAGAGAGACTTCTTCCACTGTTCTGGTTGACCTCCAATATTACCTTACTGAACGATCCATTAGATGCACTGTGAAATGTGATTCCGTTGGGATTTTTCTTGTTGATTCTTACTGAAAGATCCATTAGATTCATCGTTATATCATTAGTGGTGAATTCTTGTTTGTTCTTATACTCTTTTATGTTTTGCCTGTAAAACTCTTGTTTTTTTTAAATATTTATTTTTAACATCAGTATTCATTTCAGTGTTTTCACTTGCTAAATGTAATTTCATCTCTTGTTTCGACCATTAGGAACTTTGTTTGGTTTCTAAAAGGATTTTCAGTGTTTTTTGGGTAAAATGAACCTCATTGCTCCTATAATATTTCACACTATGTAATGGTTTGTTTATCTGGGATTTAATTTTGGAAAATATATATAACTAAATCTTGTGGACAGATGATGTTTTGTTGGTCTGTAATTGTATCCACTGTAATATTGAGCAAAAGAAGAATAAAAATGGTATTTTTACTTACTGCAGTGGTAACATTTTCATAATCTAATGTGTATGTCGTTTTGAATGTTGTAGGATAAGTGTTTCTGGACTTACCGAATAGCTTTTTACTACCAGATCAGAGTTGTTTGGATTCATGATTGGATGTTTATATAAATTTGCTCTTTATATTTTGTTTTTCTCATCATTATTATGTCATTGTGTTTGCGTAACAGCTGATAGCTTGACACAATTATGAGCAGCACAAACATATCGTTTTCCATGTTCTAGTGCTCATGCTCTTTGTCTTGATTAGGATGGAAATTGAAGCGGATCACATTGGGCTGCTGTTGGTTGCTTCTGCAGGATATGATCCTAGAGTGGCTCCAACGGTGTACGAGAAGTTGGGCAAAATTTCCGGTGAATCTGCACTGAGAGATTATCTTTCAACCCATCCATCCGGGAAAAAGAGAGCACAGTTGCTTGCTGAAGCTAAGATAATGGAAGAAGCACTTGCCATATACCGGGATGTAAGAGCTGGACGGGGGGTTGAAGGTTTTCTTTAGGACGGTCCCGGCATTTGATCACCATGTAACTCCTAACTCCTGCCTGCCACAGTTCCATTTTTTATTTTTAACTTTTGGAGAGGATCCCTGTATCTGCATGTTTCCGGCTGCAAGATCCTTTCCAATTGAGTTTTGTCTTTGGTTTTAACTTTCAATTTCAAGTGTAAATCGGAAATTTCGGCAGCCTTAAAAATATGCACATAAATTTATGCTAAAGAGATACAAAGAAATGTGAATTATGGTGTTCTCTTTTAAAAAGTAGTATTTCTTGAGTATGTGAAGTCTTGTTGTTGAGGAATTGAATCTGTTTGGTAAGATGAATAGGAAAAACATTATTATTTGGAATTCCATAATAACTGGGTTTGTTCAGGGTGGTTGGCCAAAGGAGGTCCAGGATTAGGAGGCTATTATTAGATGATGATCACATTGACCTAGGTGTAGGATTCGGTTATTTCCACCGAACTATTAAACTCAACGCAAGTGCAGTGTGGTATTGTATAGTAAACACGATTATAATATGGATGGTGGATAACATAAATCAGCTTATTTGTTCCTCACATATAGATGAATGATAAATAAATAAATAAATATATATATATATGTGTGTGTGTGTGTGTGTGTTTCATTCTTCCATCCCATTGCTTGGATTTGTACATAATTTTGTCTTTGTAATAACGATGATCAGTAAGTTATGCTAATAACCAGCTCTTATATCACTTCTCATTCGGCATGCCACTATGTAAGGTCGCGATCAGAGCATTAAAGATGGTTGGCCAAATGAATGAGTTTTCAAAGTTTGTTGAATACATCCTCGATTCGAAACAAACTTTGCAAACTATGGCATGGACAGGATGAAATTTCTATGGGGGTGATGTTGCTAATGAATGATATTTTTTTTCTTCTATATAATTGATTTTTTTAATATTTAAATCAAAAGAAATTACAATAAAAATCTGCGTTAGATTCCTAAAATCTGTAGATCATATAAAGCTTTACAAACAACATAAAAAGGAAAATTAGAGGACCAAATGGAAGGTTGCGTTTGATCATGGTCTAGCATTGCCAATGCATATCCTGCAAAGTTTGCTTTCCGATAAACATGCTGAAATAGAAGGATTTGATGCACTGTGAAATCAAAGTTTGCTATTGGAAGATCACCCTTTGCCAAAAATTCTATAGTGAGGGTTTTATATATGATCCTTAGGTGATGCCCTGTCTCTTAACCGGTGAATCAAATTGATTAGTTTAATTCAACGGTTAAGAAATAGGATCTCATCTAAATATCATATATGAGGCCCTCACTATAGGATGACTCTACCCTTTACTTCCATTGGGCCCAATCTTACGATCCACGATCCCTCCACACGTATTGAATAAGGAAGCCCATGTCATTGTTTTGGGTTGGGTTGCCTTGGGCCCAACCTTGGTTGCAATACCGCCGAAGAGGCGAAGATGAAATCGATAACCGTTCTCAGTCACTGAAGCCGAGGCAGAGAAATGGTGAGAGTGAAGTTGTTCACGTTTCAGATAAACGGCTTCGATGGGCATGACCGAGTTCGTATTGTCGTGCCTGAACATCTGAACTGTAAGCCTCCTATTACGACATGTTTTTATTTCGAAGAAATTAATTGTTGCTAAATTTATCTGCAATTGTTTGCGGGTTGGAGGATTCTTTTCAACTGAAACTTATGCTGAAGATATAAAAACGAATGTGAAATATGGGGTTCTCTTCTCTTTTACTTTAAATTTTAATCTTTGTTTTCTGTGCTTGCTTGCTGCTTTCGACGATGCTTAAGATTTAAAACGTGGGCTTCCTTTAGAAAGTTGTGTAAAGAAATATGAAATCTCGCGTCCAAATTCTAATCCCTGTTTATTTCCTGAGTAGGATAAAATTTTAAGCACCATGTTGAAGATGGGCTTCAATGCATTTTGCTTGCCTGTCAGGAAGATTGTCGTCTCCACGGAGTTGCTGAAACATTTTAGAAGTGATGCTGAGATAGCTACGATCATTGGTCATGAGGTATGAAGATTTCATTGTTTGGTTTTGTTTACTTCTTTAGCGCTGTTATATGATTTGATTGGTTAATTAGTTGAACAATTGTGTGAAGATAAGATGATAAAGTTCTCTTTCTGGGTGGTGATAGGTTGGGCATGCAGTTGCTCGACATTCTGCAGAGGGCATTACAAAGAACCTGTGGTTTGCAATCATGCAACTGATACGTTATCAGTTTGTTATGCCTGATGTTGTCAACACAATGTCCAATCTTTTCTTAAGGCTTCCTTTTTCTCAAAGGTACAGTACAGTTCATCTACTTCCTACCTTTTCAGTAATAACATCATATAATTAATTATTGTTAGTGTTGGCTGCATTCCTGGTTTGGTTGCAAACATAGATGGTGTCTTCTTCATTTATTTCTCCCTAAAGGTTTTGGCTTAGTGTACTAATTGAATACTATAGACGGCATCTTCTTTTTGAACATGACCCGAATTTTATAAAATTTCTAAAAATCCTTATTGAATACTGATGTACACCCCTTAAGTATAGGGGTCCTATTACAAGCTTTCATTCATAGTATACAATTTTTTTTTTCAGACATAAAAAAAGGAGGGTTAATAAAACAAATCAGCGTATTTATTTCTTATATTCTTCCCCTCGTATTTTCCTGGAAATTTTCGATGTCTAATGCTGCCTCTGTTAAAGGTAACCCTTTAATTGGTAATGGTATCAAAATAGGACCTCCCTCCTCCACCTACGTACCCACTGCCGTCGCCGCCTCTATATCTGAATCCTACCTATGTTCCATCTCATCTCCATATGGATGCCACACTCATAGATCCATATCATCATCATTTTATAATAATAGCCCAATTCTAGGCCTTGAGCTCAGTGAATCAAATCACTTCAAATTGATTGTTTTAAGACAAATAATGTAACATAAGTGCATACATCCTATTTAGGGCTACCATATAATGTGTTTCGACGATTGGACCCTTCTATATTTTAGGTTACCCTTAACAAAAAACATTAAGTTGTTTGGTCATATAAAATGTGCAAAAATACACAGTTGGTGAGGTAAAACGGAAACATTAAATGTGGATAATCCTTGAAAGAGAATCTAAAAACTCAACGGTGTCTGCATCTCAGAAATATGATATCTTTATTTTAAGAAAAATAAGGATACTCAACCTCAGTGTCATTGTGTGTGCATATATATATATATATATATACAACGATGATAAAGGGTTTCTTTTTGTCATCATCCTCAGCCATGAGTTCTGTCATAGACTTTCTTTCTACTCCTTTACCTCCCATAGCAATAAGCTTATCAGTAATTTTAGCTATACTTGTGATCATATCCCATGCTAGAAGATTGAGCACTGAGGACAAAAAGAGATACCATCCTGTTGTGACAACCTTCTTAAACGTCCTGATCAACTTCTGTAGGCTGCACGATTACATGACTGAGCTTGCATGCAAACACAAAACTTACAGTCCTCTCAGCACACCCAAACTCACTCCAAGACAAAGCTAAAGGACAGTCATGCAAAGGACCAACGGTCATCTCTCTTGTGCTAACGTGTATAGATGAGATAGAGTTATAGAATATACCTTTATACCTTTTTTGTGCCCTAGCTCTGTCTAGGGTTTTTCCTTTTCTGTATAAAAGCAATAGCTCAGGAATCGTAAAGGCACGCTGGGCCATTCTGAATATATGAAATACATCTGTATCTCAACTTTCCTCTTCTGTAAAACCTTCTAAAGAACTTTCATAAGTTATGCTAACAGTTGTTATCACTTCCCCTTCTGCAACCACGTGGTCAGAGCATAAATTGGCTGTATGTAAGTCGTCATAAAGAAAACATTATTTTTTTGGATTCCATTATAACCTTGTGGGTGGCCAACGAGGCCTTGGATTATGAATTTGATGTCAGTCCACTGGGAGATAAAGTGGTGCTGTAACATTATATATATATATATATATATATATATATATGTAACAAGTGTTTCTTTCGTTCATCATCGGATGAGTATCATGGATTTTCTTCCTATTTCCTTACCTCCCATTGCAATAAGTTTAGCAGTAATTTTAGCTATACTTATGATCAGAGTCCATTTGGGTACTGAGAAGAACAAAAAGAGATACCATCCTGTTGTGGCAACCTTCTTAAACGCCCTCATCAACTTCTCTAGGCTACACGATTACATGACTGAGTTAGCATGCAAACACAAAACTTATCGGGTGCTTAACTTGTTCACAAATTTTGTTTTCACCACAGATCCTGCAAATGTGGAATATATCCTCAAAACAAACTTTGCAAACTATGGCAGGGTATGTGTTCAATTGTTCTTAAGTAACTACTATATCAATGCAATTACATATCTTGTCTTTCCTTACTTTCATTCATCTAACATATTTTATATACTAAAACTATAGAAGCAAATTAACATGCCAAAGATTTCAAACATGATTAGCTCCAAATCCTGACCTGCTGCTGCAGGGGTTGTACCTCTACAACATTTTGTCAGATGGTTTGGGTAGTGGGATCTTCGCCGTGGATGGCGAAAAATGGGTACATCTAAGGAAGATAGCACGCAATGAATTATCAACCAAAGCAGTGAGAGACTTCAGCGGTGCTGTTTTCAAAAGCAATGGTGTAAAACTTGCTCGGATAATTTCTGAAGCTGCAACCTCCGACCAAGCAATAGACATCCAAGTAAGCTTGCATTGCATTGTTATTTGATTTCTTCTGTAGATATTTTAATCTTGACGTTTTGTTTGTTTTTGGGAAGGATTTGTTTATGAAAGCAGCCTTAGATTCAATCGTCAAGGTTCTCCTTGGTATCGAAGTAGACACCATGTATGGGACAAATGAAGAAGCTACCCGGTTTTCCAATGCGTTTGATGTAGTAAATGAGATGACCTTGTATCGTTGCGTTGATTTCTCCTGGAAGATTAAAAAGTTGTTGGACATTGGATCAGAAGCTATGCTAAGGAAGAATTTAAAAGTGGTAGATGAGTTTGTTTATAACTTAATCAAAAGCAAGACTGAAACAGTTCCTAATTCAGGAGATGATCCACATGTGAGTTATCTCTGGCTTCCAGTTCATATCTGTTTTGTTCTAGATTAGTTGAATTAAATTATTATTATTATTATTAATGCAACTGAATGAGTGGCAGTTGAAGAGAAGAGACATTGTTTCAAGGCTTTTGGAATCGAGGGAGACTGATCCAAAGTACTTGAGAGACATGATCTTCAGTCTGGTTGTTGCCAGAAAAGACACAACGGCTAGCACTCTTTCATGGTTTATTTATATGATCTGCAAGCATCCTCATATACAGGAAAAGATTGCACAGGAACTTAGAGAAGCAACAAATGTGAAGGATAATTCAAGCATTGATGAGCTTGCCGACAACCTTACTGAAGAAGCCCTTGACAAAATGCAATATCTGGTTGCAGCTTTGACTGAGACAACCAGGCTCTACCCTGCAGTTCCATTGGTAATTTTATCTTTTAGCATCTGAAATCTAATGCCTGAATTTGGATCTATCCTTTATTTTTTTACTTATCAATGAACAAAGTATCAAGTTTGTGTCATGGTGTCATAGAATGCGAAGATTTGTTCATGTGACGATACTTGGCCAGATGGATTTAGTGTAAAAAAAGGGGATTTGGTGGGATATCACGCTTATGGCATGGGGAGGATGAAATTTCTATGGGGTGATGATGCGGAAGAATTTCGGCCAGAGAGATGGCTCGACGAAAATGGGGTTTTCAAGCAAGAAAGCTCTTTCAAATTCACAGCCTTCAGTGTAAGGAAAGAATGTTGAGATATCATCACTGACACATATTACACATGTTTTCTTGTTTGCTGGTGAGAAATTATTTTAATTCTGAAGAAACTTAAATTATGATTTACACAGGCCGGTCCAAGGATTTGTCTAGGGAAGGACTTTGCTCATAGAGAGACGACGATGTTTTCTGCTGTACTTGTTGGCAGCTACATATTCAAGCTGAGGGATGAGAACAAAGTGGCCAACTACAAGACCAAGATCAGCCACCATATTGAGGGAGGCCTTTATGTGCAAGCGTCTCCAAGATTTGCGCATGCAATGCAAGACCTTAAATAGATATATGTATGCCTTAAACTTCCAGTACTTTTTCTATATATTTATTGTATTACTTCTTAATTATCATAACAAAAGAAGCAGCCTATAGTTCGTTCATTACGTATTTGATGACACAAATGCGTTCGGTTGTAAGCATTATTGTTTTGCATTGCATTGGACCAACCTTATCACTATATTATGAATAATTGCTCGATCTCCAATAAAATGAATTATCTTCCCTTATGTTGTAATGATATATTTCTTTCTTTCATCTCATTGAAATCAAATGTGATACGGTTGAAAATAGAACCTGGACAGTTTCTAACTATAAAGATAAAATACCACGAAATTAGAAGGTACTTGAGATAGCCAACTCACTTTTACAGTTTACTGCAAGTATTCAGCACGCACCTTAGTAACATCTCAGCCAGATATAGGCTCGCATGATCGCATCGGCCCTTGAAAATTCGGAAGACCGAGTGTCATTTACTTCCGGTCGTACCTGGGTTTTAATGAGACAACCAGGCTGTACCCTGCTGTTCCACTGGTAATTATAATTCAAACACAATTGCAAGGCTAAGCTGATATAAACAACATTGTCTGCTGACCTTTCTGACTTTGAATCTTTATAATTACTTTTAACAAGTTTTATTCGTATTAGCGTGTGGTCGTTCTGATTCAATTAAAAAAGATAAGCTGAAGATATACAAAGAAGATTAGAAAGGTGAAATATTAAGACTTGGGCTTCCTTCAAAAAGATATATAAATATCTCTGCCATTTAAATCTCCAGAGAATGAATGGTTGAAAATCCAAATGCCAAGTCCTAGGAGCACACTACTACACTTGCTCGAGGAGTTCAAGAACATTAGAGAGCTTAAGAAAATTCATACCCAAATCATAAAGTCTCCATTTTTATCCACAGATGACCAAGCTTTCCTCATTACCCGTCTCCTATTCTTCTCCGCCATTTCTGATTCTGATTCGGGTTCTCACAGATACGCTGCTCATGTCTTTCGGGCCATAAAGGATCCGAATCTCTACGTCTATAACGTCATGATCAGATCATATGCGTGTACAAAAATCAGTAGTGAGGATGAAACTCTTTCTTCGTTTGGGTCCTTATTGCTGTATAAGCAAATGCTCTGCGATGGCATTTCCCCTAATTGTCTCACTTTTCCGTTCCTTGTAAAAGAATGCACGAGTAGGCTTGATGGCGGCACAGGCCGGAGTTTCCATGCACAAGTCGTTAAGTATGGGCTCGACAATGATGTTTTTATTCAAAATTCGTTGATTGGTATGTACTCTGCATGTGGGTTTCTGAATAGTGCACGTACATTGTTTGATGAAATGTTGGAAAGGGATGTTGTTTCTTGGAACTCGATGATAAAGGGGTATTTGAGAAGTGGGAATCTTGATGAGGCATTGAATCTGTTTGGGAAGATGAACAAGAGAAACATTATTACTTGGAATTCCATGATTACTGGGTTTGTTCAAGGTGGTCAGCCAAAGGAGGCCTTGGAACTTTTCCATGAAATGCAGATCACTAGTGATGATATGGTTAAACCGGATAAGATCACAATTGCCAGTGTCCTTGCAGCTTGTGCTCATCTTGGTGCAGTTGATCATGGGATATGGGTGCATGCGTACCTGAGGAGAAGTGGCCTGGAGAGTGATGTGGTTATTGGGACAGCTCTGGTTGACATGTACGGTAAGTGTGGATGTGTGGACAAAGCGTATGAGGTCTTTCGGGAAATGCCCAACAAGGATACTTTGGCATGGACAGCTATGATTTCAGTGTTGGCTCTCCATGGGTTTGGAAATGAGGCTTTTGATATTTTTAAACAGATGGAAACAACTGGGGTGAAGCCAAACCATGTGACATTTGTCGGGCTATTGTCAGCTTGTGCTCATTCTGGTTTACTAGAGACAGGTCGGTGGTGTTTTGATGCGATGAAGTGTGTTTACTTAATTGAACCGCAGCTCTATCACTATGCATGCATGGTTGATATTCTTAGTCGTGCCGGGCTGATTGAAGAGGCAGAACGGTTTATAAGAAGCATGCCAATGAAGCCAGATGCATTTGTTTGGTGTGCATTACTCGGAGGCTGTCAAATACATGGAAAGGTCGAGTTAGGAGAAAGGCTGGCGCAATATTTAATTGGTTTGGAACCTCTGAACCATGTTTTTTATGTTAACTTGTGTGATATATATGCCAAAGCTAATAGATTTGATGACGTAAAGAGAATCAAATCCTTAATGAAAGAAAGAGGGATAAAAAAGGAAGTCCCAGGCTCTAGCATGATTGAAATTGATGGGGTTGTTCTTGAATTCTCTGTGAGAGGATCACCAGATGTTGCAATGGAGGAAGTATTGTTGGTCTTGTATCAGTTGAAGAACGATATCTGATAGAAAGGCATGCGCTTTACAGAATCACTCTAATGAGAATCATGAAAAGTCAGTTGGGGTGCAGTTTTCATGAGGAAATGCAGGTGTCTATTTGTTTTCAATGAAATGTTTCATATGTAAGGGATGAGAACTATAATTTTGCGATCCGAGAAGTTAACAATCATCAAGCACCCTTATGGAATGAACTCACTTGCTGGAAGAAATTCCTCGAGGTACGCTCTAATATTCAGTCTCTGCTCGACATTTGTCTTCAGTTTTATCGTGAAATTATCTGATTAACCCCTTCAGACACTCTTCCTCCTCTGTATATGATAAATCCATTGGCCATATATGTTCTTCATCCTCATGAGTGTCATTGGGAAGAGAAGCAGGAAAAAAATTATATCTTGGGAATTCCATTATAACAGGGTTTGTTCAAGGTGGTGAGCCAAAGGAGGCCGGACTGTAAGTTTATGATTGAATAGCGGTTACTGGTAGCTTTCAAAATCTATCTAAATATTGTCTAGAGATCCGCACATATGAAAGAATAAATCAAAGAAGTGGGGTGCAACTAGAGGACTTCCGAGAAGGTCACCCTTCCTAGTAGGCTAGTACACTCTCGCCTAAAGGAATAGTTCCCTCTTGAAATTCTGATTATCAAATTGCTGTGCAAATGCTAATTTCAGAACTAGAGGAGGAGCACCCCTATTATAGTTTGGTGTCTAGCTGTCAGAAATGGCTACTATATAAAGATTTTAGTATTACTGATGGATTGGCAGAGAAGGAAATTGCCTTGCTGATAGATTGGCAGCTCTAGGCTTGCAACTGGAGATGGTATGCAGAATTTGGGATAGTATGCCAGAAGGGCTTGGGCTTTTTCTCTTGGAGGATTTGAGCGGGGTTTCAAGCCTCACAAGGTTGCGGTTGTAGTTTGTTTTTTTCCGAACACCCCATAAATAAATATATATATATATTTATAGCTTCTGTTAAATCACACACACACCAATATATATATATGAAACCAGGTGTTTCTTTTCTTCATCATCCCCATGGGCGTCATGGATTTTCTTTCCACTCCGATACCTCCCATAGCAATAAGTATAGCAGTAATTTTAGCTACACTTATGATCAGATCCCATGCTAGGAGATTGGGTGCTGAGAGCCAAAAGAGATACCATCCTGTTGTCACAAACTACATAAACACTCTAATGAACTTCTCTAAGCTGCACGATTACATTATTGAGTTTGCATACAAACACAAAACTTAAAGGCGCTTAACTTGTTCATAAATTATGTTATCACCACAGCTCCTGCAAACGTTGAGTACATCCTCAAAACAAACTCCGCAAACTAGTATTCCAGAAACATTGAAAACGACACTATCTCTTCCCAAGGCTGCATAGTGCTGTAGGCCATTGCATGAACCATCCTAAAAAGATTATTGCTCATTAGTAAGATAAACATGGAAAAGGCAAGAGTTAGGAATTATGCTCATGGAAATTTAAAGATGGAAGAACAATATAAAAATGAGTAACAGATCATGATCATGCATATATATATATATATATATATATATGGGTTTGAATATTAAATAAAAGAACAATCCTAAAAAGCTTGAATAAGTAATTTACCTGATGGCATGGATGGGCAAATGAGAAATGACAGTACGTATGTGGTGATGGGTTATTTAACGCTTCTAAGAGATTGATACAAGCAGCCAGGCACTGTGGAGGATCTTCAGCTGTTAACCACCAACGGTTTCCTTTAACAGGGTTTGTTGCTGAATCAAACATATCACCAACGCACGAATGCTAGTCGGCCCTCATATGAAAGCTTTTCAACACCGCCGGCATACAGGTTTGCTAAATAAATCTTCAGTCAACATAATCCAGACTTTTATATGGTCATCCTTCAGCAAATTCAGGGACTCCTCGACAGAGATAAGAACTCAAATGGTTCAAATGTGGGTGCGTTGGGTACGTTCGGCCTCGGAAATCAAGATTGTGGGGGATAATAAAAGCCGTCCTCATACGTTTAAACCGTATAGCCGACCGGCTATACTATTTAAATATATTATTTATGCCAGTATCACCCGTCGGCTATAGTATAGCCACGCGGCTGTACGATTTAAATCTATTCTTTTAAACGTACAGCCGAGCGCCTATAATATTTAAATATATTATTTTACTATGTAAATGTATTATTTGCAAACGTATAGCCGAGCGGCTATACGGTTTAAATATATGATTTGTAATAGTATAGCCGCGCGGCGGTACGATTTAAATATATTATTGTTAAAAGTATAGCCGTTCGGCTATACTATTGAAATCTATTGTTTTCAACTCTAAATATATTTTTTAAGTTAAGCCGTCCGGCTATACTATTTAAATATATTATTTGTAAAAGTATATCCGCGCGGTTGTACTATTTAAATATATTATTTTTAAAAGTATAGCCGGGCGGCGATACTGTTGAAATTGAAACTTATTATTTTAAACTTTAAATATATTATTTTTAAACAGTCTAGCCGCACGGCTATACGATTTAAATATATTATTTTAAACAGTATAGCCGGCCGGCTATAATGTTTAAATATATTATTTTAAACAGTACATCAGACAAAATATATGCTTATAATATATATATATATATTTTTTTTTTTTGTCAGACTTGTAAAATTTTTATTAAAACAAAAAACAAAAAGCCAATGCTGAGGATGAACCCTAAGGAATGGACGAGCAGGGTTGGTGGCTTCCGGGGCCCGAGCTTCAATGCGCAAGTAAATGTTGAAAGAATGTGCGAGAAGGCGATGGTTGATGTTTTTGTTCAGAATTCGTCGACGAGTATGCATTCTGCATGCGGGGTTTTGGGGAGTGCACGTAAATTGTTTGATGAAATGATTGATTGGGATGTTGTTTCTTGTTGGGTAATCTTGATGAGGCATTGAATCTGTTTGGGAAGATGAACAAGAGAAACATTATTACTTAGAATTCCGCTACTAGTCTCAGTATTCATTCATTTCTTACCAAACTTATTTTTGTAGAAAGCTCATGTTATTATGTTAATTATTCTTGGATAAGAGCATGTCCCACAGAAATTTGGTCAGCCATGTGATTTCTTTCGAATCTTCTGCACACACCATGCACCACAAAGCTTGCGGCCAACTTTAGATTATAGCCAGTTTGTTTTTTGCAGACTTTATAAGATAAGGCAACCACTTGAACTATATGTCCTAATCCTTTAGTAGAACACTTGTTTGTTGTTCTACCCCTTCAAACACACTCTTCCTCCTGCTATACATTAATTCTTCATTATCCGCATGAGTGTTATGGATTTTCTTTCCACTTCCTTTTCTCCAATAGCAATCGGCTTAGCAGTAGTAAATTTTAACAGGTTGCTTGGCTTGAATATATCCTCAAAACAAACTTTGCAAACTAAGGCAAGGTAATGTGCCAGGCAAAAGGAAGAAATTAGTGCGAGTAGGAAATTTCAAAATACTTTTTTCTGCCACACATTTGAAGACAGAACAGTTTAATGAGTTTATAAATGCTCATTGAACTATCAATACTAGCGGTATGTTATATATAGTCATAGGTGTAATGTTATATATCTAATAACAGAAGTTCTAATTCCTTACCTGTGGACAGGGAAAGATGGCAGCATCAAAGGAAGGTAGCGAGCTATGAATTATCAACCAAAGTAATGAGAGACTTCAGCAGTGCAGTCTTCAAAACCAATGCAGTCAAACTTGCTCACATAATTTCTGAAGCTGCAACCTGCGACCAAGCAATAGAGATTCAAGTTTGTTTGCAATGTTTCAATAATTGCGTCAAGTTATTAATTCATTACTTCTGAAGAAAATATATTAATCTTGCTTGGTGCTTCTGGAAAGGGTTTGTTTATGAAAGCATCCTTAGATTCAGTCATCAAGATTTTCCTCGGTATTGAACTCAACACCATGCGTGGGACAAATGTAGAAGGTACCCGGTTTTCCAATGCTTTTGATGAAGCAAATGCAAATACCCCATATCGTTATGTTGATTTCTCCTGGAAGATCATACTGTTCTTAAACATTGGATCAGAAGGAGTGTTAAAGAATAATATCAAAGTGATGGATCAATTTGTTCATAAATTAATCAAAAGCAAGATTAAAACAGTCCATAATTCAGAAGATGAGCTACCTGTGAGTTACTTTTCTAACCATCTGTTTGTTCTAGGTTAGATTAATTTAGTATTATTATTACAATATAATGTGGATGACTGGCAGTTAAAGAAAGGAGACATTATTCCAAGGCTTTTGGAATTGAGAGAGTGATCCAAAGTACTTGAGAGACATGATCCTCAGTCTCATTGTTGCTGGCAAAGACACAACGGCTAGCACTCTTTCATGGTTTCTTTATATGCTCTGCAAGCATCTCATATATAAGAGAAGATTGCACAAGAAGTTAAAGAAGCAACAAATCTGAAAGATAATTCGAGCGTTGATGAGCTTGTAGCCAGCTTAGTGAAGAAGCGCTTGAAAAAATGCAATATCTCCATGCAACTTTTGACTGAGACACTCGGGCTCAATCCTGCAGTTCCCCTGGTAATTTCCAGTCTTTAATCTAGTGCATGAATGCAATGTGCAAGCACAATTACAAGGTTAAGCTCATACACCTAACACTCTTTGGATTTTCTGAATTTGAATAATCTGTTACTTTGTGTAACAAGTTTGTGTGATGCTGTCTTAGGATGCAAAGGTTTGTTTATCTGATGATACCTGGCCAGATGGATTTAGTGTCAAAAAATGGAATATGGTTGGATACCATATTTATGGCATGGTGATGATGCAGAAGGTCAGGGAGATGGCTCTACGAAAATGGCCATTTCCAACAAGAAAGCCCTTTCAATTTCACAGCCTTCCAGGTAAGAAAAAAAATAAACTGACATCACTAACACATGCCAAATTTGTGGCCTGTTATCATTATAGGAATTCTGAAGAGATTTTTTCATCTACACAGGTGGTTCCAAGAATTTGTCGTCTAGGCAAGGAATTTGCTTATAGGAAGATGAAGATCTTCTGTGCTGTGCTTTTAGGCAGCCACAAATTTAAGCTGAGTGATGAGCACACAGTGGCCTATTACTGGACCAAGCTCACCCTCCATATTGATGGGGCCCTTCATGTGCTAGCCTCTCCAAGATTCGGGCATGCATGACCGCTACCTTAGATATTTTGTCTTAAACACGGCCCCTTGTACTGGTCTATATAATTGTACTGAGTGTATTCTTATTGTATTGGTTGTTATCGTTGTGAAAGAAGCCTAGCCCTTTACGTATATCCATATATAGCTTAGATAAATACACACACACACCCAGAGTAAACAGAGAACACATACACACCCACCAAAAAAAAAAACAAGGTTTTCTCTTCTATATATACATGTAAGAAGTGTTTCTTTTCTTCATCATCCCCATGAGTTTTATGGATTTCCTTTCCACTCCGTTACCTCCCATGGCAATAAGTTTAGCAGTAATTTTAGCTATACTTATAATCTCCGTTACCTCCCATAGCAATAAGGTTTTCCAATGCTTTTGATGTAGTAAATGAGATGACCTTGCATCGTTGTGTTGATTTCTCCTGGAAGATTAAAAAGTTGTTAAACATTGGATCAGGAGCCACGCTAAGGAAGAATTTAAAAGTGGTAGATGAGTTTGTTTATAAGAGCATCCACAATGGGGGGGGGGTGTATATGGGGGTGTATGTTAAATATACACCCCTTGTCATTGGAATCGTCTCCAATGAGAAGATGCACATGAATGTAAATATACATCACCACCATGGGAATATAAAATAAAATGTATATTTACATCCATTTTTACATCTCTTGTAGGCGGGACCCACACGAGAAAAGCGAAGAAAAATGAAGAAAAGTCAGCATAAAAGGCTGGGACCCACGGTTACAGT